GGGTAAGTACTTATAAAACCACAGAAGCCATTCATGCTGCGCTAAGTCCGATATTTATCCAATTTAATCAACCGCGTCCGACAATACCGCCAATACATTTGCATTTAAGAATACTAAAATCAATAGGCCATGTAAACAGTTTGACTTAGTGACTGAAATGACAAATTTTTTAAAGCTTCCCATTTCAACATTTTAAAGATTTTCTTTAAAAATGGAAACGAAAGAGGACCAATAACATACATCACAAAATAATAAAGATGAAAACGTGTTTGTCGATTTGCTGAAGCAGTTGATGCTGATATTTTATTTATTACGTGAATAATAGTTTTGTAACATTTGCACTATTTCCTCGTCTATTCTGGATTCCTAGAAAAAAGGCCATGCATTATTTTACACAAAGAGAGTAAATTGTTAGTTACTTCAGATGGATTAATGAGTTCATGTCTTTTATGAATTCTTTATATTTCTAACTTGTTTCTGTTGGATATTTGTGATGTAAAATATGATTGTCGAACTGATTTTTTTCTATCTGTAAATATACCCACATTAATCTTTCTTTTTAATTCGAGTAATCTGGTCTGCATTTAAATCAAAGGTTTCACATTTCCAATTTGAATGTATTTAGATACGACCTTATTACTTTATTGCTTCATTACCAGAGAGTTTAATTAGCACTCAAGTCACTTGTATGTTTCTGTGTTACGCAAAATACACATTCTCCACTACTTTCCCATAATGTTTACGTGACACACATCTATGATATTTTCTGGACAAGCCTAATATCCAACTATAAGCTACTGCATGGTCAATCGTGCGAAGAGGAGGCAGCAACTGTAATTCTCTCCTATCTTATGTAGCGCTAGACCATGCCACCAACTCTCTCTCTCTCTCTCTCTCTCTCTCTCTCTCTCTCTCTCTCTCTCTCTCTCTCTCTCTCTCTCTCTCTCTCTCTCTCTCTCTCTCTCTCTCTCTCTCTCTCTCTCTCTTTTAATATTAAAAAATCAGTTGGTTAATTCTTAGTACAGACCATCGCATTATATGCATTAAAGAGTAATCACATCTTTAATTTAGATTGAGTTCATATATGGGAAGACAGTAAAAACTCTTCATGGTTTTTTTTTTAAAGTGCCACAACAGTGTATCTACATTTACTCAGTTCATTTCTTAATGAATGAGAATATTTATTAAAAATACGAATGTAAAATATTATATTGAAACATTTTCAATAATAACTGCGTGGGAACCTAAATAATATCGCGTTTGCACCTGTCTACGGAAATAACCGAATGCAACCGCCTTCCACTTCCGGTATTTAGTGTAAACAAAGCGTGACGTCACATTATGAACACTTATTGTAAACAAAGGCCGAGTTGGTATCGTTATATCATGGAAAAGTCTTCAGAAACTCAACATAAAAGCTGCGATTCTGAAGGAAGTGAATTGTCACTATCCTGCGCGTCTTCGCCATTCAAAGATTCGGAGGTACTAAGCTTGGAAGATTTTGATAATGGTGTAGAAGCGGCTGCCGGCTCCCAAATTAATCCTTACCAGTTTTAACCCTATATTTCCAATACCGACGAATCCGAAATTGCAGATGAAGATGATGAAGAAGAAAGACAAGATAGATTGACAGACAATTCATGGTAATTGTTTTCTGAATATGTCTGTGGTCTCAAGTTACGTTAGATATATGTCCCCGACGATATTTTTAAAATAGTTTTCAACAGTTTCATGTTCGTTTACAAATATTTTTTCTCACCTGTAATAAAGGCTGTAAAAATGTATTGCATTTCATGGGTAGAGACGTATTTATACGTTCATAAGCAAAACGTACATCGGATCACAGTTGTAAGTTTCGAAAACCTGTCAACAAATTGATACAATAAAACTTTTGATTCCTAGAAGGGGGGCACAACATTACCCTCATGACATTAAATGTGAATTTATATTCTGTACACTGTATTATAAGTTAAAATTTCAAATTTCTCATATGTATGCATATAGTTGGGTTTTGTAAACTATGAAATAAACCTTATTTTCCTCTGGTAAGCATCAACTTGAAGCTTTTATTTTTATTCAGATCAAATTCAATTTTACATTGTTGTACTAAATGTTTTACCTGTTCCTGAATTTAGTGCGTTTGTGTCATAGTAATGTGTGCTATTGATGTCTTCATAAATAAATTTGACAAGCACAGCACTTCACATTAAAGAATAAAACTCTTTTTTAGGTGTAATTGTGGACATTGTTTGGTAATGCCCACTTCAAGAGAATGTGTATGTTGTTGTGACGTAGAGAAGGTCACAAGTGTCCGCAATGAATACCAGGGGATACAATATATAACAGACCATCCGGGGTTCAGACCAGTTTGTTTAGACATCCATGTTTTAAAAGTTGCATGCTATCAGTATAGACAACAATTTGGAGAATGTCCAGAACAAGGAAATGAGTAAGTCAAATGTCTGAGTAATTTTTCTTGTAGTTTTGTTTTCATAAATTTTGTTTTCATGATTTATGCATCACAGCCTAGTATTGAGTTTATTAATACAGCCTACACTGTCTAACATTTATACCACAGTAATACTGACAAATCATGCCGAAACAACAACGCATATACACATAATATTGTTTTATTTCATTTGACATATTTGAAAATAAAATGGTTATATATATATATATATATATATATATATATATATATATATATATATATATATATATATATATGTGTGTGTGTGTGTGTGTGTGTGTGTGTGTGTGCAGATTTTATTAGGAATCATTTAACTTTATTGATTTCATACAAAATAACGATAAATCACACTGGGCCACTACTAACACTATCCACTAAACTTTTGATTTCCTAATTTGATCTATTGCATAAAGAATATTTTAATTCATCTTATTTTCAAATTATTATTTCAACACACCCAACCACGCTGCCCTTGCTTGTACCACCACGATTCCTCTTGGCATGATTATGATGATAAAACTTTTCCAACAAACTAATATGAAACTCAACACATTCTTTGTTCATGTTTTGACAGAAACGGAAGTTAAGATGTGTTAATAATGTGACGTCAGACGATCTTCACACTCCGGAAATTACCGAGTGATTAAATCGGTCAGATGTGCAATTATTTCGAAAACACACCTGAGCGTATTTCTCAGTTATTACGGTTAATTTTTTCATCGGGTATTTTTATACCGCTTCAAGATTCTATTTTCTATTCAAATAATATTCTATTTTATTAACGTTATCTACACTGGTGTGGCACTTTAAAACGCGTCCACTCCTGGTGCTTTTCTAAATTACCGATACTTTTACGTTCACACTGGGCAATGAAGGAGAATTAAAAATAAAAAGTCTCTACTGCTCCAGATAATCCATGCAGCAGATGATGGACACGGTCTCTACACAGACAAGTTCTAAAAGGGATTATTTCTGATTAGCAAAACTCACTGAGTCTAATGTGTAGAGGTAGAAAGCGAAAGCACAATGTTTACGTTCTAGATAATTGATATAGCTTTGTGTGATGACAGTAATTCTTTAATCAAGTGTAATCACAAATATACAAGCTTCAACCAGCGTCAGATAGAATCATCTCCCAGATTAGTTAAATTTGCCCATGTCATGTACATACACGAGGCAAACACATAAATGGTCTTCATTCAGTAACTCTGAACCTGATAGACCTATTTACTACTACAGGATTTCATTCACCATACCGTAAATTATTTCTACTTCCTAATATTTTATTTTAGGGAAATAAATTATGTTTGCAATTATACAAAACTTGTTGGTGTTCGCTCTTTCTTTTTGTTTATTTTAGACCATCCACTCTGCAGCTGTATTACAAGAATATTACTGATAGGTTCGATAATAAAGCGATGAGATCTCTTCATTGAGTTATGGTTCTTGATTAAAAGAGTTCATCACAATAAAGTCATAATAATAATTTTAAAAAATTGTTTAACTATAGCCACACACTGCAGCTTTACTAACTTTGTTCTGTCCATGAAGGATTCAATGATATAACAATGATATAACAGATTAACGGCTCGGATCAAATTTAAATTGTTCATTTTCGAATTTTCCAGTATGTTCAACGAGATTTATATTATTTTGTCAGCTTGACAAACGAACAAATTGTTAAGTCTATATCATACACCAATACAGTGTATTCCTTATAGACATGCATGCATAATGCCTTCATTCATTGAAAGAGTGGCCTGAAATTTAATATCGTGTCTGAGGTTTACACTTTACAGAAGCCCTCACATGTCTGCTCTATCAGTTTCATTGCGTTGCACCAGTGAGCAACACGCTGAGCAATATCTATATATTTGTACCCTAGGTTATTGTACGTTATCTTTTAATTTACATAAAAAGTTTTACCATAGAAGATGTCAAATTGTACCCTGTCCAATATTTTACAAAAAAGTGGCATTCTTCTTTTAAGATGTTCAACTGTATATGATCTTTTGATTTACACAAAGACTTCTACCCTGTCTTAAAGCGTACACTTTATGTCATCTTTTGATCTACACAAACAAGTGTACCTTATCTTGACACGTACAAGTGTACCAAATATAATTTTATTTACAACAGTTGTACTATCTTTCGATTGACGCAAACATTGTACCTTAACTTAAGACGTACAATTATACCCAATACTTTGATTTACACAGACATTGCACCTTATTTTGACTTTCAAATATACCCTACATTTTGATTTACACATTGTTCCCTATATTGAAAAGCATAATAGTACCATATATTTTTATTTACACAAGCAGCTGTTTCCGATCATAAGAAGTACAAGTGTATCCTATATTTTGACTTACATAACCATTGTTCTCTATTTTGAAAAGTACACTGGTACTCTTTGGTTTGAGTTCCACAAATAATTGTATCCTATTTTAAGACGTACGGTTGTACCCTATCTTTTGATTTACACGAACATTGTACCCTATCTTGACACGTGCACTTGTACCCTATCGACCGGTCGAATGGCCTAATCGTCAGAGCGTCCGCCTTGGGTGCGGGAGATCGCAGGTTCAAACCCGCGGCCGAGTCATACCTAAGACTTATAAAAATTAGTACTAACAGCTGCATCGCTTATGTCTAAGTGAAGTTAGCTTGTACGTGTAAGACGACAACACCTTAAAAGTAATTCAACAATACATATTTCTGAATGAACTCTCTTATGTGACCAATAAAATAGTCTACCATGGTTGCTTTCAATAATTATTAGTTAACTTCACATTAAACGACGTCATTCATCGGACAATAAGGTCAAGTGGGTCAAGTGGGTCATTACCTTGCCTACGCAAATGTTATGCCTGATGTTAGTCTCTTATTGAACAGTACCGCTCCAGTGAATATAATAATAAAAAAAATCTTTAACAAGAAATATAAGGTAGGATTCGTGACCATGTTGTTTGCTAAAATGTCAAATTCAAGAAGTGTGATTAAAATAAATCTATTCTTTGATCATTTCCATATTGCGATGTAAAAGGTGATTATCTGATATAAATGCGCCATAAATTATGCAGTATTTTGTTTTACCGCAAAAAAAAAAATGCATCAAAAATAGATTTTACTAAAACTGGACGTCTCATACAAATCCATTCCAAAATTTATAATTGTAAGTGACCACGGTGCACTCAGGTGGCCTAGTGTTTAGAGTTTCTGCCTCGGATTTGAACCCCGACCGAATCATACAAAAGACTAATAAAAATGGTACTATCAATTGCCTCGCTGGCGCTCAGTGATAAATATGCATAGATTGAAAGTTTCTAATTCATTAGACGTCGATTCATTTTGTAGAATCACCACTGTTGTAATTAGTAGGGTAGGATCTGCGTGTTTATTTTGCCGAGTATAAAGTTCCTGACATATATTAAACCTGAGAAGAAAAAAATAATAACATGACATAAAACCCACACTTCACCTTCATTTCCCATCATCATCCCTTATTGTCTTTTCTCTTTCTTTTCATATGTGTTCTATATCTAAACTTCCATTTATGTTTTTCATTATATTCTATCACGTTTTCTACTCTTGTGATTTTGTTTTGCATACTGGAAATGAAATTGTAAATTCATATGAGCCTGGTTTCCATTCTTTTTGCAAAGTTATTACTTCTATGACATTCAAATACGCTTAAACTAAGACAAACATACAATAAAATTGGAGCTTGATATTTTCTCTCTAAATTAAAAAAATCACATGATCTCAGCTTTATGTTTGCTTTATGTTCTTAGTTGATTTTTACCGACATAAACTGAGAAAATTACAAAATGCGTGATATTTACAAGATTCCTTACAGTCATGTAATATTTTACTAGGATATTTCTGTTTTCGGTGTATTTGCAAAATTTGTTTGTTTTGTTGTCGGTAAAATGTGGATCGTCTGCTAGTGATTCAGAATTGGATTTTGATGACTGTTTCAACATCCTCTTGGCAAATATGCGATTTCCCTCTTGGATATGACGCATGTTAGGGAAATAAATAAGTCTTGGTTTCTTTGTACCTTTCCATGATTGAGAACAATTCCTAATTTAGAAAATCTTGCGTAGTAAATTGAAATTTGTCACTACCATTGAAATAAGTGTTTGTAATAATATAGGAATAGAAAATATTACTGTTTCTACCGTTTGTACTGTATATGATCAGCAAGAAATGTTAAAAGAGAATGTGGTTGGTTGGAAAGTTTATGAGAAATAGATTTTTAAAAGACGTTTCGCCCGTATTCTTATCAGAACCCGATAGTATACTTTATAAATTTGTGTAAAGAATTATATTGACGTTTGAAGTCTTGTACAGTCGATGAAAGTTTTGTATAGATGATTAAAGTCTAGTATAGACAATTAAAGCCTCGTATAGACGATTCAAATCTAGTATAGACGATTAAAGTCTAGTATAGACGATTGAAATCTAGTATTGACGATTAAAGTCTAGTATAGACGATTGAAGTCTAGTATAGAATATTAATGTCTATTATAGACTATTAAAGTCTAGTATAAACTATTAAAGTCTAGTATATACTATTAAAGTCTAGTATAAACGATGAAAGCATCGTATAGACGATTAAAGTCTAGTATTGACGATTGTAGTCTAGTATAGACTATTAAATTCTAGTATAGACTACAAAAGTCTAGTATAGACGACTTAAGTCTAGTATAGACGATTAAAGTCTAGTATAGACGATTAAAGCCTCGTATAGACGATCAAAGCGTTGTATAGACGATTAAAGTCTAAACGATTAAAGTCTTGTATAGACAATTTTGGAAACATATCAACAGCTTGAGTGACGTAAATGTCGCAGATTATGTTCAGTTGTGGATGCAATCCTAATCATTCAGAGTCTAATAGAGCAGGGATGATTAGGGTGTATGGGGTGGTGGTGGTGATGGTGGTAGTGGGATGCGTGTCAATCCTACTTATTTTTTAATTATTCCGAGACAAACTCTTCAACGTTGAGCATATTAGTCATGCAATGTACACAAGTGATCATTTTAGATAATGTATTATATATCCCTTATTTAATTCCATTCTATAAATTTGGGAGAAATCTATGGTCATAAACTAAGTAGCAAAATTAAGACGTTTTGTAAAGCTTCACAAATAATTTTATTTAAAGAGTTTTAAAAGAAAATACGAAATGAATTTATATTGTTATGAAGTGAATCAAAAACAATTATTAAAAATTATATTACAGTCTAAAAGAATTAAAAGTTCATATAAATTTCAGAATCGGAAATTCAAAATAGTCCAATATGATAGTCCAATAAACAATCCAAGCAAATGTTTTTCCTCTCAAGTAATATCTAAGTACAACTTAAAACATGTCTGCATACTTGATGTTATAACAGGAATACCAGAAATAAGAATGATCCTGCAGTAAGAATGAAATCTGATTGTTCAGTTCTCTTATAATATACACATTCAAGAGTCTATTATGACTATTTCGAAATATAAACCAACGTGAAAGATCTTGCTACTCAATCTAATATTTCAAAATACCTTTTTATATCACCTTACCCATCCAATAGGAATTAACTTAATTCTTCTAAAATACCATCTGACTGATCTGTCCAACTGGAAAAGAGACCCAGTCTAGTAAATATATTTATTAATAACTTTAGTATTGATAGTAGCTGTCATGTCATACGTAAGCATCTATTTATAGATAATATGCAATTTTACCTTCTGTAACATCTTGAAATAAGATCTATGCACGTACGAAATCCAACTGTAAATAATCACTACAATTTACAACCTTGAATAGAAATTACAAAAGTTATAGATAAAATCAAATACCAGGATCTAATATATATATATATATATATATATATATATATATATATATATATATATATATATATATATATATATATATATATATAAATTTTTACAAGCATTTTTTTAACTAAAAAAATCAAATTCAATTTCAGTGTCTATAGATACGCTCGCAATATACTAGTGGCTAATTTTGCAGAAAATAACTGGTGAAGTCCCATGAGAGCTATTTGAGGATAGTGAATTCGCTCTGACAAACAAACCCTTCGATTGGAGCTGACATGTGTAACAGCAAATCATTGTTGTGTTTTTTTAATGATCCATTCTACTTCTATTCAAGCGATCCGCTTTTGTAAAACTCAACGAAGAAATCAAGTAATATTGCTATTTGACATGATCAATGTGACGTCAGTTTTTACATAAGTGAACTGTAGGCTACGAACGTTATATGGGACTGATTGTAAAATCACGTGGTCGCTACCTCTGTCACGCATTATTTAAATAAGAAGAAAAATTCTGATATAATTTCAATATTCGCAATAAAATTCCTTTGAAAGAAAATAGTACTCGCAGCGAAATGTGTACGAAACGATGGAAAATCGTTAACACTTTACAGTTTCAATAAATGTGTCATACTGAAAATCACCCTCCAATATACAGTTTCTTGTATTTATTTGATAAGAGAAGTTTGTGATCTTTAAGTTTTTCAAATTTGACAATTCCTTTTTTTTATTAATCATTCTGCTACTTTTGTGATGGCATTTAATGATTTGGTACCTTTTTCCCAATAATAATCTTTATAATGACCATTACTTACATAGATATTGAACTGAGAATAGTGTACGAAATGACAGAACAACCGATAAGTATTTTAGTGATTTGGAATTCCTTGGTTCCATAGCTATGCATAAATATAATTTCTTATACTGCATAAAAAGTTTTCATACTCCAGAATCAAATGAGCGATTAACCAACAACCCTATGCTATCAATCTTAGCGAATCTTAGCGCAGTACATTAAGTTTCATCTTTAAATCTATGCAATTTATCTAACTTCGGGATGCTTCAGTAATCATCCTTAAACCTAGCTAACAAATCTAAGCGGGCATGAAAATTTGCTTCGGTTATTTCAAGGATCATCCTTAAACCCATCTCAGTAATCTAAGCGAGCGTGATAAAGTGTTGCGTTGCAATTATTAGGCAACACGCGTAAGTTCACAATAGTGTTGTAAACGAGCACTCTTAATTTATTTCAGCAACTTCTTTAGTCTAATTCATCAACATATGTAGATATTTTTGTGGATATAAAAACACCATCATTATTAAATCAAATTGAAAACTACCAGAAAATATCAAATTGAAAATCCACGTTGTTCAAAAGTTAAAGTTTGTGTTCAATAAGAGATTAGCGCCCTTACTTTCCTTCTTATATACTGCTTAATAATTCTAAGTTCTAATTTGTTAGCATAAGTTACGTTAATTAGCTTGGCGTTTACAACTCACTATTACCACTGGCACATTTGAGAGAGAGAGAGAGAGAGAGAGAGAGAGAGAGAGAGAGAGAGAGAGAGAGAGAGAGAGAGAGAGAGAGAGAGAGAGAGAGAGAGAGAGAGACCTGTGCTTATTAGTTATAAAAACTCATGACTGATCCAAACTGTGGGAGATGTCACGTGTCGACGTTATTAATGTTTGAATTCTTTGTGTAAAACCTTTTTTCTGCTGAACCAATGGGCGCAGGATGTATGCTTTACAATGTCATCTTAACATTGATGAA